CCGCAGTCTGGGTCGTTTTTGAACATAGTTAACGCATATTTTTTGAAAGTACCTTCTATTTGAACGCACGCCCCACCCCTCGTGGGCGGAGCTTCGCTGAATTCTTGCGCCCAGCACGCCTGAAGCCTTGCTCACTCGTTTTATTTCTTCTGGCATCCACCACGCCCTAGTTTAAACGAGTTCATAACTTATGTAAAAAGACTGTGAACGTGACCCCTGCATATTTGAAGGTGGCTCAATCGAGTTCGGTAATTGAATACTGAGAGTTGCTAGACGAGACGACTACAGAGTTGTTCGCTGTTCTTTTGAACGGCGCTGTAATTCAAACTAGACGGCATAGAGTTAACCGGCATGCTTTTCATAGTCATGACGTGATCGACAGGAAAACGGAGAATATCGGTGAAAATCTTCATCAAAGATGTAATGCATTTCCGTCGCTTGGGAGAAAAGTACCTTCAACAAGGTTTGCCAGTATGTGCAAAACACTGGGAAAATATTTCATTAAAAGTTACAACATTTGATACGACACTTGGCAAACAGGGTGGGTCGCAAGTCTATGAGAAAATTTGACGTTTTTATATTGTTCGCTAGGTATTCACCTTTACTAAGTAAATACTCAACAAAATACGCAAAAATTTTCCCCATATCTCTCAATCACCATGGCAGCGGGTTCTCTCTCTAATCTATAAGGAATGTAGTGATCTTTCCCAGTTTCACTTCAATTTTTCAAATTTCTGTCATTATCATGCACTGTTCTCGGAAGTTCACTCAACACAAGACTCCCAGAAGTCTTGCTGAAGAAGCGAGAGAGTCATAAAGAATAGAAATGAAAAAAGTAAGCAGTAAGGAGTCTATAGATGAGAAGCTGCTGTTGTTTCTCGAATTTCAATGACATTCAGAAGCTCTACAAAAGTTTCAGCAGAGGAAAACGAAACAGAAGGAGGAGGGTGAGCAAGGAACATGCCTGGAATATTTAAATAGCTTCATGAAAAAGGTTTGTTTTTGATTATCAGTTCAGAGGAAGGGGTGATAATGCGAGGTACAAGGCTGGGAACGTAGGATGGATGTGGAGCTATCGAGCCAGAGAGGGTTTGATTTCTTTCATTGTCCTTTGATGGCTACTTGCAGGACAGGTTGGCATCAAGCATACACCACTCATAGCCATGAAGGGTGCTGCTTGAGGCTCCGATATGAAGTTAGAAGTGTTATGCAGTTATCAGATTGTGTACATTGGCGCTGGGAGTTCAGCATAGATGAAATCAAACATCATACTTCCAGGTTCTTCCCAATTCGTGAACATGTCTCACCTCAGTATGTTGCTGAAGAAACTGAAGCACTCTGCCGAAGAACGAGTATTCTGTTCAAGATGCTGTTCAACAACGCCATTACGTAAGCAGAAGTGTGCAAGTGAGATTTCGCTGATGCACAAAGTGCTTGCCCAAACAAAAATCTGAGAGCGAGTTTCCACTGCGAGTTTATCCGACCCTGCCCGTAGAGCTGACGGTCAGCTTCCTATCGAATGGTTACAATTTACAGGTTTTCAATGATGGCAAGACTTCAAGGTACGTGCGAATCACCTTTGAGAGGAAAGACATCAATTTGGGATACGTCGTACCCAGCCAGATTCACATCGGTTTCAGGAAATTGGCTCCCAAATCTTTCGAGAGAAACCCACGGAATCAGCCTAATGTTTAGATGATTTTCATAGGACAATCCATGAGGAACTTCTTCTTTTGACTTCTTTTCGACGTTGTGTTAATAAACTACCAAACAGAAATACTCAGAGTACCAATATCCAGATTTGATTGGATGAATGACTAACAAATGCGTCCCCTTTTTGGCACGCTTTAAAGAGTAAATAAAGAAGTAAACCATTGAATGAGCAACATATGAGCAGGATAATCAGACAAAATAGCGAAAATTGCAGTGAGGGAAATCGAAAATCAGCCAGAAACTAGGAAAGAAGAATATGGAACAACAAGAGCAATGAAAAGAGCAGGTCGAAGATCTCTCGGTCTGTGATATCCAAAAATAAAGTTGTTCTAGAAGATAACTCGCCTCATCTTAAAAATTCGAAACAGAAACGGAGGATGGATGCCTGCGTGCAGCAGGCGAGGAATTTGAGATCAGGTTTTGAGCCTGTACCTATGGAGGGTATTTCGAAATGTGATTGTAGCGCAATGTTGCTTATAATGNGCCTCATCTTAAAAATTCGAAACAGAAACGGAGGATGGATGCCTGCGTGCAACAGGCGAGGAATTTGAGATCAGGTATTGAGCCGTACCTATGGAGGGTATTTCGAAGTGTGACTGTAGCGCAAAGTTGCTTATAATGTAAGCACAGTGTATGTAGACTCCACTGTTATTCTCGACTTATTGTTAGAAGCGTGAAATACATTGCAATGAATATAGGTAATTCTTCGGGACACCCTGGTTTCCTCTGCTAATACCATGAGATAGTCGATTATTTGCAGCTGATCTGGCTCTGTTCAAGTGATGAATAAGCTGTGCTTGACCAACTTCAGGTTTTTCGTAGTGGCATGGAGCTCCCAGCAGGTTATGGATACCAATTTGCTGCAGGTCAGTACACTTTGTCTAGTAGGATCAGCCTCCATATGGTCTGAGGTAGCTTCCTTATTTCCGTGATCGGCTTACTAACGGGGTGACAGAGACAGTCAGGCCAGGTGTAAAAATTTCTGTGGTCGTAAATTGTGATTTTCACCTTTTTCCACCAGTGTGAAAGGCGAGGCGATCGTTATTTGTACTGTGCGCCAATCATGTAACTGTTTGCAGAAGATTACCTTGTCAAGAATCTCGGGTATGTGGAACAGGGGAAAAAGATCTTAGCATTTTTGAGAACTTCCAATTAATTGTCGACTTTGTCACCAAAAATCCGTGCTAGCCATTCTTACAGATCAGTTCATAGTGTTTCTATATGTAGGGACCCCACAATATTATATAAGGAGCTTCTAATTTTGCACATTACGCTGTAGTTACGACAAATGTTTGATCTTTTTCTTACTGTCGTAAATGAAACGGTGCTCGCGAGCTTTCACAAGTGCAATTTTCTACAAACATCTTCACGCGAGCAAAATGGGTTCCATAACGGCTACACTACTGTTCCTATGAATAAAAGGAGAGCGATGCTCAGACCTTCATCCCTGCCTCAAGTCGTTATGCTTCGCCTAGCTGTCCTTCTCAGTTTCGTCGCTGTCTCGTTGGTAAGTTGCCATGGAAGTATGAAGCTCCCCTAGGCTGATCGTCTAGAAGAAGGGTTGAAACGTCAATAACCAAGGCATGCGCTCCAACGACTACGACTACTACGACGACTACGACATCTACGACAACCACTACGCGTAAAGAAAAGCGCGAAGTTGGTGAAGCACAAGTGACCTTAGTTACTCATCAGGACTTTGATGCAAAAATGATTCCTGCTTACTTGAAAGTGGTCAGATCCGCGGTAAGTAACCGAATATCGAGAGGTACTTAGGTGATGCGGCTACAGAATAAATCGTTGTTGTGCTGATTTTCGCTATGATTCAGATTGAGCAGCATTCGAAAAATCGAAGTGTCTTCTATAACCGTGACCTGATCGACGAGAAGACTGAGAACATCAGCGGGAAATTTGGTGTCGTCTACACCATTCTTGGTGTGGACTGTGATAAGGTACTTATCCTTGCATCCATTTCCTATTGTGCAGTTTTTATGCGGCAAAAGTCGACGAGGGCGCAACAAACAAGCCTTTACAGTCGCCCAGGGCATGAAGCATTTATTTTTTGTCGTACGCCTTCGTTTTCGTCTTCATCTAATGCTCTTGTTAGGCTGTGAGGGATGCGAACGACTTTCTTGCACCTATGTGGAAGTGTTTTCAATAGGATATGAGGCTGCACGCCGCCGATAATCAATTTTTTGTGCGGGCCCCAGCAAGGTTCTTGTCTCAGTCACGAGCCGGAATAGTCCAATAGAGCAACTTCGCTCGAGAGACAACGCATAGTACCCTTCCGTTCAGAGCCTTCGCTGGGATGTCTGGCCAATGCGTCGGCGGTCCTATTGGCATTTGTTTGAATTTTCAAGAGATACATTCAGTAACCACCTCGGTCATCACAATGTTGCATAGCGACCCATTCGATCCTAATGCCATGGCGTGAGCAACAGCCCCTGTCTTCGTTCTTGACTTGACAGAGCTCGGTAATGTGAGATCAGATGCTTTCTGCTCTCGTGTGTATAGTGGAATTTCAAGAATCGTCCTTTCCACGGCGCGTAGAACGACGTTGACTGCGTGCACATCCTGCTTTCGCGGAGTCCAAGTTTCCGAAGCACGCGTCAAAGTGGGGACGATTGCAGCGTGGGAAAGATGAACGTGGGGTAGGATCTTCCTTGCTTTCTGTCCTTGCTCCGATGTTCTCTAGAGCTCACCACGTCGAGGCACTTCTGAGCTAATATGATCTCTAGTATGTTGTGATAATTTTTCGTTGACATCCTATTATCTATTACACCGTAATCTACAACAATTGGCACCTGGAAAACTCTCAAATATCTAATCAGACAGAAAAGGAAAACGTTGAAAACACTTTGGGAAACTCTCTAAAAATGGGAAGGTAAAGAAAGAAGGAACACAGGATCGAGTTCAGGGAGTGCACTGCGAACTATGAGCAGGCATATCTTTACATCCTACATTGTAAAAACTATTTTAGTTATGCCAGTATGTATAATTACTTCACGTTTCAGCTTAACGAGTTCATCATGTCTGCAAAAGGGCTATCGACATTCATTAGACAGGTTGCCGTCACATGTGGAGGCAAAACAGCAGTTCTGCCACTTCCAAATTGAAATAATTCATCAGAATAAATGTCCATATCTTCCAATGTTAAGGTTGTACAGTACCGAAGCATTAATTCTCGAAGAAACACTGAGGTTCACTCACTATTCATTCAATAGCCAAGAAAGACATTGAAGGATCCACTGATGAGGTTTAAAGTGTGCCAAGAAGAATGAGATTCAAAATTGACTCTTGGAAAAATTTGCGGAAACCCTTCTGAGTAGCACAGAGGCCTCATTGTCACATATTATATAATGATGAGCCGTTGTAGTTGGACCCATTCGTATTGAAAATTAGTTCCCTTCATACTTGNGAGTTCCCGTCACAAAAAATGTTTAGTGAGCAATGTTCTTACTCCCTCTGATAATCTCTCGACATGGTTGACATCTGTGAAGCTTTGCAAATACATTGTGCATTATAAGTATTGCAGAGTAATTCCCTCCGGCATGAAACTTTCACCCGGTTGTATCCTACTACCAAGGCGTGCTGCAGCTGGAACTCACAGAGGTGGCACCTATCTCTACAAGCTCTATCGACCGTCCCTTCACCAGTTAAAGAATGCGAGCGGTTGCTCAGGTTGATTGGGGGAATACCATCACAACGCCAATCTGTGGAATGCCTATTCCACCACTATGAGAGATACAGTAATGGTAACAGATCATAAGGAAAACAAAGATATAAACAAAAGCCCACGAAATGAGGTGACCTAAGATTGTGATTTGTTGCCTCTAGAATTCCGCAAGAGTAGTATCCCAGACTACCTGAAAACCGGCTAAATCTCACACTCATCTGGGAGAGAGGTACTTTAGTTTGAGGGATTTTGTGAAATACCGAAATGATTGTTTTGAACACATTGTCTCCGCTCCATTGTATCTACGAGGTTGCTGTTCTAGTGAGAAATTCAAACTGGGACGCGTGCGAATGCATTCAATATTCTAAATGGGAATATAACACCTACCTGATTTCCTGTGAGAGGGATCGAAGCGAAACTCCCCTCCTGCTCCGAATAACAACTTTCATGACCGATCTACTTGAAATAAAGGCAATATAAGAATTGTTTCTGGTTTTGCATCGAATCCGAGTCCTTCATCTTTAAATCTCGGCATTTCTGTTGTTCTTGAAATTGTTAATTTTGCTTCTGCCCCGAGGTTGATAGGTAGAAATTTTTATTCTGAATAACGTTTCGACGGATTCATCGTTTTCAAAAGCCTGAAAATGGCTTAAAGTTTGTTGATTGTATGTACATTATTTCACCGAGCGTCTCTTCCGCTCTAGCTTTGCCGAGGGTCTATCAGAAANAAAATTCAAAAGATATGCTCACCTCACTTCCACCGCGAAGTGTAGCTAAGCTACAAGGTTAGTTCATTAGTAGCGGATGATCTTGCTTCACTGCCCTTATGCAATAATATTATTGCGGATCAGCATGTTCGCGGATTATGAACTAACTCGCAGTGTTGCATAAATGGCAAGAGATCATTTGTCATCGATACACACACTCTTTTCCGGTGTTCATATCTGGATTTCTAGCAAAAATCCAAACCGCTTCTAACGCTTTAATCGACAATATATTTCCGTCTGGTGAGCCAATATCATACACTTGATGTAAAATCATCGCCGTCGTGCTGCTCCAATCCGTGCTTCCCTAACAATGTTAACGCATTAGTGCGCCGTTTACCAGTAAGATGCTCCTTCATTCGTACTGATAAAACCCATGAACGGTAGACACAGAAGAAGTCTGTTTCAGCGCGAAGTGTTTCTCCTGTCAACTTGGAATCTTCCTCTGTTACCATGTGGTACCGTATAGCCATTCGACCGAACTTTACCTGGAGCTCAACGTCTTGATTCTTCGCGTTCGGCCATACCACTGCACATGCCCGTAGCTGTCCTGTACATATTCCTGATAACAGCGGAGGGATGCGCAGATATAGCGTGAATTGAAATTTTTTCGAGCTTCTTTTTCGGTACCACTTAACGTGTACGAACCCGCTAGACACATTCATTTGAATGTTTAGATAGGGGATCCAACCATCTTGTGGTGTCTCCCGTGTGAGCCTGACGTACAGTGACCGCTCATTCATTGTACGAAAACACTCATCCATTTCGGACTGTGGTGAAGTTACAATGCAGCAGTCATCTATATACCTACAATACATCAACGGTAAGCGTGCCAATACTGGTTCTTCAAGCCCAAAAGCCCAAAAGTCTCAATACTCACAAGGAATTTGATCGTGTTGGTTCTTTTGAATTTAAGGCATCTTTCGTGCTTTCCTGATAGGACGTCAAAAACGCTAGAACGGAAGAGGCGCTTGGTGGGTAGCGTACAATCAGTAAACTTCGAACCAAACTCTGAACTTCGAACTATTTTCAGAACTTTGAAAACGACGAATCCGTCGAAACTTTGGCCAGAATAAAAATTCCCACCTCCAACCGCTAGGCAGAAGCAAAATTAACAATGAATTCTGGTATTTCTCGTCATATTGTATCATAATGCTTTGCTGTACAGGCCGTTACGAGTGAACCATTTCACCGCTGATCTGTGGCTTATCCATCAAGCGCAAAAAGGCCAGTTGCATCAAGCCCCAGGAACTTTAGCTAGGTTACCAACCTTCCGCGGTTTCAACAGGTTCAGCTCTCATAAGTCAATAACGAGAAATGAATGTGACATCATGTTAGTGTAGGATAATACACTCACGGCGATCTGAAAAAAAGGAGTGAAGGCACGTGTTTAGTAATTGCGGCCATGCACTCATCTTTTTGTTCAGCTTTCTTTCGTTTTTTTCTTAATCTCGTTGGCTAACATTTCGCATTCGAGAGCGAAATCACTGCCCCGATGTTTTCCAAATGTTTCCCAAGGGGTAGACATGAAACCCTTACCCATCACTTATTAGATGTCCTATAACGCTATATACAACATCACTTCGAATCATCAATAATTGGCAAAATCTATCATGCTTCGTGCAATCTCCATCCCTTTCAGAAGGACACACCGGATACCTGTCTGAACTTAATGCGTAGAGAGAAAGCCTTTTCAGATCAGATTACACTGAAATTGCTCTCTTGCATATTTGTCGAGTTAACATCATTATCCAGATCCGCTAGAACAATGTGTTGGCGATTTCTACGCTGACTTAGTGACTTTTAGAGGTACAGCACTTTCCCACACTCTTCTAAAAGATGCTCTCTTGAGCCTAGCCCCTCATGTTGCGCTCCAGAAAAACTCAGCGTTGCAATAGTGACAAATTTGTTGACATGATTTCTTCCTTTTCACTTCGCCTGTACCACTGCAGTTGCTGTTTTTTTACCAACAGCAGGAAAACACAGCATTACCATGAGTAGAATTGATGGTAAAAGCACCAATGTAGCGACAGTGTATATTGGGCACGCGAGCTATAATTTTCCTTTCTATTCGGCTTATATATTAACAGCTCTGACCGGTGAATGCTACTTGAAGAAAATCTGCTTTCGTTAGCGGCATTCCCTTCAAATGAGACAGGGTTTCTGCAATTAGATTCCACCTTATATATATATATATATACATATATATATGCTTCCGTGAGGGTTAGAGAATATATTCTCTGACACTCAGGGAAGCATGACGAGGCAAAGCAGATAAGCTGCACAGTAGTGCTTCAGTGACGGAAAAAACGGAAATTTGAACGACTTCTTTGCGTCTGCGTCCACCAGCAGTTATTCACTACGAAACATAATAGTAAAGCGACCAAGCGATGATCATAACATCAGCACAGCTCGGAATGGATGAGTAGTTCGAATGTCTCATGAACCAGTCGGATCGCCCGGCCGGCGCCGGACTTCCCTCCATCGTGTTTCAAAGTTGACCCGCCGCCTGCATTCTCCCAAGTTCAAAAGCTCTGGTTCAAGAGGAGAGGAGATATTGATTCTCAGCGAAGAGCACACACATCAACAAGCTCCGTACGCCATGTGCAAAGTCGTGGCCAAGACTTGCGTGTTCAAGTCACATGGATAATTTCCCTCTTTATTCAACTTCACTGCATCTTTTCTCTCGAGTTACACTCATTTCACACATGATCCGCTCCCTCTATATTTTCTATTCCTCTGCGAGCGGTATCCAGTTATTTCACTTTCTACTAACCGACATCGTTGTCCTAATCTTGCCGCCATTACTGGAGCTAAATTTGATTGCCCTGCGTCCAAATTAGTAGTGCCACCACCCTCAAAAATCCTATCTTACCGCCTGTTTGAAACGTTCGAAAGTTAGAAACGACCCAGGTTGAAATTAACGGCTTTCGCGCACGCCCGCTTCTTAAGGACGGGTCCAGCCCACCACTATAACCATCGTTTCCATCATT